GGACCAACGAACCAGGCTATATCACAATGTATAATGGGTAATTACGTAAGTTCCATGAAAAGCATTAGCTTTGTTGTTTTGCTAATACTTCAAAATGAACCTGTGAATGTCTGTGGGTGAGCACGTCTTCGCCATTCAAAATAAAAAAGTGCACTTTTTAATTTCATAATGCCGTTTTATTGCTCTTCTTCTTAGTAGGTGCATTTGAAAAATATTTTCCCGATGAATCCTGAACTCCTGCTCAAAATGATAAATTAATATAAGGACAGCTGCAAAAAACAACAAAACAGCCCGCGAAGCTGTTGTCGTTCCATCCTGACGGATGACAGCCGTGACAAATAAGCGGAATCCAGGAAAATAAACCGCGGAACTTTGACCAATGAGGACAACAGTTTACTCGCGCGTGTGCACACTTCACAAGATCTCAACTAGATTCGACTAAGTCTGCAAGGTTTGTGAAATTAAATGTTCATTAGTCATTCAGAGATTTGTTTAAATTATATAAATGCGTATTTGCGGAATGCTGACGGCAAACGAGAAAGTATTATACTTAGCCTTTAATAATTTAAAGCAATCGTTATAATACTTTTTTGTATACATTTTAATTCCTTTGTTTAACAGTTCTATCTGATTATTAGATAGACTTCTATCCATATTAGACAGAACTGAATGACAACAGCGAACAAGAGGGAGAATGAACGAGGTGGTCTCGGCTTGATTGAAAACGAACTCTGGAGCGGTTCGGTTGTTGTGAGAAAGCAATCCGATCTAACGGACCAATGAACCTGGCTATATCACAATGTTTATTAGGTAATTACGTAAGTTCCGTGAAAAGCATTAGCTTTGTTGTTTTGCTAATACTTCATAATGAAGCTGTGAATGTCTGTGGGTGAGCACGTCTTCGCCATTCAAAATAAAAAAGTGCACTTTTTAATTTCATAATGCCGTTTTATTGCTCTTCTTCTTAGTAGGTGCATTTGAAAAATATTTTCCCGATGAATCCTGAACACCTGCTCAAAATGATATAAATTAATATAACGAAAAAAAAAAAAAAAAACAATAAGCCCGCGAAGCTGTTGTCGTTCCATCCTGACGGATGACAGCCGTGACAAATAAGCGGAATCCAGGAAAATAAACCGCGGAACTTTGACCAATGAGGACAACAGTTTACTCGCGCGTGACTTGTATTAACAAATTTGGTTCGTTTAGAAACTTTGCCATGTGAAAGCGAACCGCACCAAGAATAAAAAGCAACATTGTAATCATTTTAATCCCTGTTTCGGAACAAAGCTATCGATCTACAGGTGTGAAAGCACCCTAAAAGTCTGACGCGCTGTCAAAATAAAAGTCCCGCCTCGAACACATCGGCCAAACAGAAAAACTTATCGGTCGATGCCGATATTTGAAAAATGGCAGATATCGGCCGATATATCGGTCGACCACTAATAGACATATTAAAAAATAAATAAAAAACACTCAAAAATCACTCAATAAAATTACTAAAACTAAAATTAAAGTGAAAACAGAAAAATAAAAAAGTCTAAAACAAAATATTAACAAAAGTTAAGTTAACTGTTAAGTTTAGTACCTACTAGTGTTCTTTTAGTATTATTTATATACTATTATAGTATTTATTAATATTTTGAATTAGCTTTTATTTTTATATTTACAGTTTTTATTTTAATTTTAGTTTAAGTTTTAGTAATATTTTCATGTGCTTTTTGAAATTATTTCTATTTAGCTTTAATTTATTATTAAAATAATTGTTTTATTTCCGTTTAGTTTTAGAAATGTTAGTACTTCAGCTTAAATTTATTTTATTTTAGCTAGTTGCCACGGCAACATTTCTAATTTTCGTTTAGTTTTACTTGAAGTACTAAAATAACTAAAACTATCAACTAAAACCAATAAATGAATATTTAAATAACTGACAAAAACACACAATAAAATTGCTTAAAATTTTACTACAAATAAAGTGAAAACAGAAAATATATATAAAAAAAAGAATGTTATTACATGTATAGTTTACGAAGGTGTTATTTTAACATTATTCATATACTATGATAGTATTTTTTAATATTTCTAAATTCGCTTTTTTATGTTTTCAGTTTTTATTTTAATTTAAATTGTGCTTTTTAAAAATTATTTCTATTTAGCTTTAATTTATTTTTTATTCCAGTTTATTTGTAGTTATTTTAGTACTTCAACTTATTTTATTTCAGTTATTTGCCAAGGCAAAGTTTCTAATTTTTATTCATTGTTTTTCATCTAATATTTATTAACTATTTGTAACTATGAGCAGTAATAATAGTGATGTTTGAATACTTGACCTATATTAGATGTGAAGCTTTTAAATAAAGGTAAATCTGAGAACAACAGGCGAAAGTCTCCGCTTTCTCTTCATCTCACTGCTGTCTAGGAGAAACAATTGAGAGATCTTTCCAGGCACAACAATGTTAAAGCGTCTCTGTTTGGCGCCATTCTGTGGAACGAAAGCAAACAAATCTCAGCGACAGCCGAGACGGAGACAAAACGTCCCTGACAAACGAGTCTGGTTACCATGGTAACGCTGTCTTCTTCTCCGCAGCGGTACCCGACGCGACGGATGCAGATGAGCATTGCCCGCTGGTGAGCGGCTGTGAGAGCGTGGATGGAGAGTGTGTGTGTGAATCCAAACACTCGTGCATCCAGACCTACAGCTTTCCCAACAGAGACGCATGCGTGCATGCTGGGAAAACAGGTGCGTATGTCACCCTCCAAATAACAGGGCTTCCATGGGTCCTTTGTGGGTTTGATCAAATTCAAGGCCATAACGAGTCTTAAATAGTATAACAAAAGTTAAAATATACAAAAAATGGCCAAGCAAATTTGCTAAAATATTATAAATTTACATGCATATATATTTTCTACCAATATATATTTTTTGGATATTTTTGAAAATATATTTAAAAAATATAAATTTAATTTTTTAAAAAAGCATTTAAAAATAAATGTTGCCCTCCATACATCACATTTGAAGAAAAACTGTAACACGTGTGAGCATATAACACGTTTGAATAAAAATAAATTATGAAGTCTAAATGTAGGCTTTTTAAATATATTTTGGTATATGAAGGTTGCAACTAAATATATTTTCAATTTTTTAAAATATATTTCATTGAGCTTCATTGTTTACAATATATATTTAGCATATATTTAAAATATATTTTGGCCAGAAAAAAAATATTTTTTGCCATATGGGTAAATTTGGGGATGGAAAAACAGCATTGTGATATGGATATGTGAATATTAAACTTCAAAAAGCTATGATTCTATTAAATAAATGTGAACACTGCACGTTTCAAAGTCAAAGCATGGCGCTGTTGTGTGTTTTTAGAGCAGTTCGCAGTCAGTGAATCCTGCACATTTATGTCTAATGATTGCTTATTGATGCACCTTTGATGAATTTACAGTTTACTTTATGGTTTTTATATTATAATATGTTTTAGATGGTTGTAAGATGCATATTTTATGTGTCTCATCTTTTTGAATGAGTAGCTTAAGTAGTAAAGCATAGACATTTCAAAATAAGAGTCCTACTGTATTTCGGGCTTGTTAATGATTAAAAGTCCCTCATTATGCATTTTTATTGGTATTTTGGTTCCCATATTTGTCTGATATTTTTGAACGAGCAACTGGAAGTAGTAAAGTATAGATATTTCAAAGTAAGAGTCCCTGTATAATTTAGTAATGTTTACGATTAAAAGTGCCTCATTATGCATAAAATATTTTTAAAATTTGATGTATTTATTTATTTTTTGGTTATTATCGATGTTTTGGTTCCCATATTTCTCTCATCTTTTTGAAAGAACAGTCAGAAGCTAAAGTTAATAAAGCACAGACATTTCAAAATAATAGTCCAGGGGTATTTTAAGCTTCTTTATGATTAAAAGTCCCCATTATGCATACAATCTTTTTTTTTATTTTGGTCATTATTGATGTTTTTGTTCCCATATTTCCCTCCTCTTTTAAAACGAGCAGTCGGAAGTAGTAAAGATAAACATTTCAAAATAAGAGTCCCGGTGTATTTCAAGCTTGTTTATGATTAAAAGCCCCTCATTATGTATACATCTTTTTTTCTAATTATAATTAGTATTTTGGTTACACAATAAACAGTATCTGGCATTTAAATCAGCATAAACTCTGAACCGATCCGTCACAGGAAAGAAAGACTTAAGAACATTATTTAACACATTGAACATATAGATTTTATTAGTATCGGCACAATAATCTTTTTATTGCCTTTCTTTTCATTGCGTTCAGATTAGAACACGTCCCAAAATAGACATGTGCGCAGCTCTTCTGGGACGTGTTTTAACAGGTTTATGCATGATATATCTTTACGTAAACTATCGTGTTACATCGTTTATGTTCAGCATAAAGTTATTTGAACCTAAATGTATTTAAATTCATTGAACCAGAAATGCGTCCAAGTTGTGATTTATATGCTGCATTAATCATGGTCTGTTAATCATCACTAGCCTGTGTTTGACCTGTAACTCTCTGTATTTCTCAGGTTCTCTCCGTCACGAACACAGACACAGGCTTGTGGGTCCCGTGAACCCGGCGTGTGTGTTTTCTGGCTGTAATCTGACGGCCGACGGCTGTGTTTGTTCGTCTCAGAGCTGCGACGATCACTTCACGTACGCCAACCGCAGTCAGTGCCAGCGAGCCGCAGGTAACGCAGCGTTTCCAACACATTCACACTGAACAGGACACTTGAAACGCATCTGATATACAGTGCAGATCAAAATTAGAGAACAACCTACAATTTCCTAAATTTCAAGGTCACTGTTTAGTCCTATTTGGAGTTATCCTAACAGGAGTAGACGGGCAGTTTTTTAAGCATATTTCATAAATCAATTGTATTCTGAAGCACAGTAAATGAGATATTTGAAAAAGAACTCTGATCAAAATTAGAGAACACTTACAGATACCTCCCAGTTATTGCTGTTAATCAGGCATCTGGTGCTAATTTCATTAATTATATTTCAAACCCTATTTAACTGGCAGCATTCCTTTAATTTTCACTGAGATTGAAAGATGGCGGGTTGCTCTAAAGTGACTGAAACCCTGCGACAGGAGGCGGTCCAGATGAAGGCCAAAGGGACGACACTTTCAGAAACTGGTCGTTCCAAATCTGTGATTTCTTGAATATTGCAGCTTTGCAATGACTCTAATTCATTCAAGTCCCCTAAAGACGCTGGTCGTCCACTTAAGACAAATGCACGAGAGGATAATGCAGAGACTCTCAATGGGGAATCGGTTCAGCACTGCAGCTGAAATTGCTCATCAGTTCAACATGTTAGTATAACAGTGGCATACCCACAGCTAATATAACTTCAGATTTTAAGCGATGAAGATTAATAATATTTTTTCAAAAACAAGTATTTATAGATTGTTCTCTAATTTTGGTCTCCACTGTAGATGAAGGTTTCCAAACATGTGCACGCAGCTAACAGGGAATGTTCTCACAACTTTCACTAACGTTTGTTAAAAGTTATATTAACGTTAGGACAAAACGTTCTTAAAGTAGCGTTTATGGAATGTTCTTATGATGTCATTTGTACTCGATGGATGTTCTAAAAAACGTTTCTGTAACCTTTAAATAACGTTCTAATCACGACAAGAAAACTGGGCATTTTAATGTTCTTAGAATATTGAAAATAAACGCTCTAATAACGTTCTATTTTGGGTGGAAATGAAGTTCGTAGAATGTTCTAAGAAACTTTTTTGTAACCTTTAAATAACGTTCTAATCAAAACTGGACTTTTCAACATTTTAGAAACATTTCAAAACAATGCTCCCACTACGTTTTAATTAATTAAAATAAGTTAAATTTGTTACACATCAGGATCTCGCCTTTGAAGATGAGCGTGAATCATCAGCAAAAGCATGATTAAAGCATGATATTATAATATAAATTTACATTATTTTTAAGTTATAAAAGGCACTGTACTGACTGTTGTAATTTTGTTGCAGTTATTTTACTATCAGTGAGATACTACTATAGTTTTTTATTAGTAGTTTGAATTCGTTTTTATTATAATATATTATATTTTACATTTTTGTTAAAGTTTTAGTAATTTTGGGGTTTTTGTCATTTTGATTCGTTTTTTTTTTAAAGATGTCTATGTAATTTTTATTAATGTTTATTTCAGTTTTAGTTATTTTAGTAGATGAAGCCAAACTAGATTAAAATGAGAAATGTTTCTGAATGTAGCTGAATTAAAAAAAAAATAAATAAAATTTTTTCAGTTATTTTGTATTTTATTTTGAGTAACAATGCAAGCATAAACCTGATGAACTGGAATATCTACTGGAAGAATAGTTTATTCTGATTATGAATAATCTCAGATAGCATTTCTTATGGGAAACTCTGGATTAAGAATATTTAAGAAACAAACAAATGCAAATGGCAGAAGATTGATGGATCTTTGAATTCTGTGCAACTTTTCTGCAAAGCAACAATTAATATTATGAATAATTGTAATTTTATGTTGCTGTTGGCACTATTTTATTGAAGCAATAAAGCCACTGTGGGTAATTTTACTATGATTTTACCTGATGTAAACTTTTACCGTGGTAAAATCACTATAATGCACTATAAACTTAATCCATCTAATAATCCCTCTCACCCAGACATACACTACCATCAACAAATTTGTGATTTAAAAAAAAAAAAATTATTAAATAAATACTTTTTTTCATAATGTATGCATTAAATTGATCAAAAGTGACAGTAAAGACATGTATAATGTTACAGAAGATGTCTATTTCAAATAAATGCTGTTCTTTTGAACTTTCTATTCATCTGTGAATCCTGAAAAATAAAATGCATCACAGTTTCCACAAAAATATTAATGTTTTCAACATTGATAATAATCAGAAATGTTTCTTGAGCAGCAAATCAGCATATTAGAATGATTTCTGAAGATCATGTGACACTGAAGACTGGAGTAATGATGCTGAAAATACAGCTGCGCATCACAGGAATAAATTACAGTTTAACAGATATTCACATAGAAAACAGCTGTTTTAAATTATAATAATATTTCACATTTTTGCTGTATTTTTGATCAAATAAAAGCAGCCTCGGTGAGCTGAAGAGACTTCAAACCCGAGACAGATCTGCGACTCATTCCAGCGATACAGTAAACTGGGTTTCTCAGCGTTTTTCTCCTTGCGTTCAGTGACGCCCCTTCAGCAGCCAAACACTGAGCGCCGCTTGTGTGCGATTACTCAAGCGCACATCTGTTGATCATTAGCTTGTTTGCGCGAGTGTCTGAGTGGGATGTGAGTGTCTGTTTGTTATCAACACACAAGTGTGTAGCTTATATAACAGACTCGTCCCTGAAAACCAGGTTTCCGCCACATACGGCGCACATGTGATCAGGTATCTGGTTTTCCCCTTGACTAAAGGAGATTCGCATGTGTTCTCAGTCAGAAATGCCCCATACAGCATATCTGAGAGACAGAAAAAAAATATATTTAATTAATAAATAAATAAAATATTTATACATTTCAGATATATTTGAAAATATGCAAAAATGGCCAAAATATATATATTTCCATAAATATATTTTCTACCTATTGTTTTGTATATTTCTAAAAATATGTTTTAAAAATATACTTTTAATATACATTTAATATATATATTTTGCCCTCCATATATTTCGGTTTCAAAAATATATTTTAAAAATATAAATATATAGATATTTTTAAAGCATTTAAAATTATATTTTTCCCTCTATATATTTTTGTTTAAAAATATGTTTAGGTAAATATATTTTCTACCAATCCTACATTTTTTCACCACAGCTTTTCCTCTGTTTTTTTTTTTTTTTTTTTTTTTTTTTTTTTTAAAGCCTCTGTATGAATAGAATTCAAAGACATATATTGTGGCGGACATCAATCATTGAAAATATTACAAAGTGTCAATATGTAATATATATTACAAATAGGAGTCAATATAATGTTTGCTTTATCTCCATAAATCCATATCTGAAGGCAGACAGACAGGCTTATCATGTGAAGAGATTCTCTGGTCCTGCGTTTATAAACACGCCACATGTGAGCTGTTGATTATATTTTATTACAGAAACTGTGCACTTATCATTGGACTGCAGTCGAGGGTGAAATAACTGAAATATTTGCTCTTAAAGGGATTTCATTCTCTCACAAAAGTTTGGTGTTCTTTTGAGAAACTTTGCGTTCCATAGAGAAAGCAAATGCAAAATTTAGTGGGAAAAGAATTCGTGAGAGAATGGGTAAAAAGCAATGAATTATATTTTACGGTGATGGAAAAAATAAGAGATGGGAGAAAAAATATAATACTCTCGCAAAACCTTTGCGTTCCCCTGAAAAACTTTGCGTTTGCTCGCAAAGAACTCAAAAGTTTTGCAAGCAAATCCAAAGTTTCTTGGGGAAGAATTTGCGAGGACCACAAAACATTTGCGAGAGAACAGAAAAAGCATTGAAAAGCATTGAAAAATAATAAAGCATTGAATTGTACTTCACACGTTGAAGTACAAAATGGCATTTGCAACCTATTTGTTGCAACCTTTCCCTCTGATGTTGTGCTGAAGTCTCACCCAGTTCTGGAGCTGAGCTCATTGTTTCTCTTCACATGAAATATACCAAAAATCGATGTTAAACCAGAGGGCTTACCCCAAAAAAAGCCACACAGGGGCCGCCGGACTGAGCCGGCTTTGTTCTGCGCTGACTAGCATCCAAAGTCAGTCTCTGAACAGAGTGTGCATTGTAGGCTTTTTCCATGAGTAAACCCTGCTTGTCAACACAGCCTCCTCTGCCTGCGAGCTGCGCGCGACGGAGGAAGACTGCCGCCCTTGTGCCCTCGGCGCAAAGAAAAACACGTTCACAAAGAGCCGCTTCACTTTCATGAAAGAGCGTCTGAGATCTCAGATATATGTATTGTTTACAAAGGGCCTTTCTGCGCTTATAAAAAAAACAATTTCCGCTTACCCTGGAGGGTGTGTGTGTGTGTCTGTGTGAGTGTGAGTGTGAGTGTGAGAGAG